GGAAATTCTAGCCTCTACAGCCTAATAGTGGATCATTTATGAAGTATGGATGAGTCCCAAATGGCTATTTCTTAGTTGTATTTTGGATCGTAGGGGTGCAAGAACCGGTAATTAAATTCCTATGTAGTGCACAATGTAGGAGCAAAGAGCCATTTGAGATTCTGCCTCAGTGTGAGGAGAGGGGCACCACTGGATTGGTGCTAAATAAGGCTCACAGTGGTAATTTGGTGACCAAAAAGTACTTATAAAGCGAGCGTTTTTGCACTAAACAGTGCTGCGTTATCATATGATCATTGTTATATGACAAAGTGAAATGAAATGATTTTAATATGCAGCGATGGGCGACAGAGCGTTCTCCTTCATTCAGCGGTCCATGGTTGCTTGGCAACAATCCCATACTCTAAAGGAACTAAATTTCTTGGTGAAATACTTGTCTATGTCCATTATTATTAATACAAACTTAAATTATTTTCAGCAAAACTGTGTTTTATCATATTTTATGTTTCACGTCGTGCCTAACAACACCGTTCCCTGTGATAAAATCGCAGTAATGCATGGCCTCTCATGGCTTACTGCTTTAATAGTAGTTACTTAATAATGTACAGTAGTTACTGAACAATTTATGGTAGTTACCAAATAATTCATAGCAGTTAATGAATAATGTATAGCAGTTGCTAAATAATTTAGAGCATAAACTGAACTAATCGGAACAGTAACCGAATAATTGATATTACTTGCGGAATAATTCATAGTAGTTACTAAATAATTTAGAGTAGGAACTAAATAGCTCAGTAGTTACTCAATAGTTTATAGTAGTGACTGAATAATTTATAGTAGTTACTGAACAATTTACAGTAGCTACTGAATAAATCATAATAGTCACTAAATAATTTATTAATTTAAAGTAGTTACTGAATAAACAGCCTTAAGATAAATAACTGAGAAATAACTTAAAATGGCAGAGAGACAAAGACAATCGCTTACAAAAAGAAACAAACCAAAAAACAAAAACAAAGAACAGAGCAGGAGTCTGGACTCTCAGCACTGTACGGCCACTATGGTTCCACAGCAACAGCCTGTTTTACAAACGCTAGAGTTTCATTTTCACACTTGGACTGGTACAGTCATACAAACAGACAGTGACAATATGGAGCTTCTATAACCTTGAGACTCTTACAGTCAGGAGACCTGACTAAAGAGTGTTTCAAGGTTGTCCTGCTGGCATAAAACGAAGCACTTTCCACTGCTCTTTCTCTCTCTTTATGAAATGAACGTCTATCTGTCTGTCTCTCTCTCTCTCTCGCCCATCCCCCGCTGCCAGACTGCTCTCAGCTTGTGACCTGCCTGTTCAACAGATGAATGCGCTGTCACACTTCTCCATTTTACTCACTCGTTCCCTCTTTTTTTGTCATTCATGCGCCTGTCATCTGAGTGCGAATAAAGGAGGACCAGCAGGGCGAGCTGCTGTGAGCAACACGGTGGAGGTCGAAGGTCTCTCTCTCTCTCCATAACTCACAGTGGCCGAACGTCCCTGATTCTAGGGGGTCCTCGTAACCCTAGTAGCTGTGGAAAAAGTAGTGCGAGGAGCATGTTAGCCATTAAATCTCTCCCTCTCTTTCTCGCTTTGCTTGATGTCCCACTAATTGCACTGTGCAGTGGCTGTCACAAGGTCATGTAAAGTCTGGGGATATGGCATTAATATGCAAACAAATGTCATTTTCCAACGGGCGCAGCAAAGGCTCGCGCTAATTATTCCATCAATCCCAGATTTGCATCTTAATTAAAGATCTTTATCTTGATGAAGGTATGGGCTGGGGTTGGGGAGGGATATAAAGAGAAAGAGGGAAAGTTTGCGTGACTCTGACGATCTTTATAGCGGCCTTCATCATCCGGCCGGCCGCGCAGAACAAAGGCTTTGTTTCATCTACCTCTGGATAACTTTATCTGTCTGCCAAGTGCCTGAACAGAAAAGCTGTGACTGCTGACTGCAGCTCGGCTCAGCGCAGAAGACACAAAACACGCACACGCTTTAAGACGTTTCGCAGATTTCACGGACGAGAGGGGAGAAATCAATGTTTTTCACTTCTTAGAAAGTGCTTCCAGGGCCACCATGTCCATCTGCGCTCTGGGACCTCAACGTCTCGGCTGCTTCGGGAGAGCAAACACACTCGCGCGCACACGTCAAAGCCTCTCGCTCCATAAATTAGGGCACATGTTGCGCTCTCACACATGTTCTTCCTCCCACGTCCGCATCACGCTGCACCGCTGACAGAACGCAGCCCACTCTCAGACAGCACTTTCTCCAAGAGTTCATCCATTACTCCAAGGCCAGCGTGGGGCTGGCAGGGTGTCAGCAGCAGCCCCACACGCCCCAAACCCAGGGGCTGCCTGGGAGTCAGCCGCAGAGGAAAAAAAAATATTAAAAGTGAAAGATGGAAAGTAAGAGTAACAAATCTCTGATGTCAGAATGACTTCATTACGATTCTTTGGTAAGCGATTCACTCCATCATGGATTCTCATGTTTCACCAAGATTCAATTCAATTACAAGAAACAATTCAATGCATCACGAAATCTCAACGCATCGCTACAATTCGATCCTATTAGATTCAATTACGATTCTTCAAGAAACAATTCAATGCATCAAGAAATCTCAATGCATTGCTACAATTCAATCCTATTAGATTTAATTACGATTCTTCAGGAAACGACTGAATGCATGAAAATTCAATGCTCACCACGATTCGATTCTATTCTATTTGATTAGTTATTGTTCAATTATCGGAAACAACGCAGCCCCTTATGAGTTCTCATATTCCACCACAATTAAATTTGATTAAGATTATTTCAGAAACAAATCAACTTAACATGAAAACTCTACTTTCCTGTGCTAAAGTTATGGCACATTTTATATTTTATTGTTTTAGGAAAATGGCATATTTAAGTTTGTTCCCTGTAAAGAATGTGTTATTGTCATTTGCCTGGGTTCAAACGGTCTTAAACATGAAAATCGTGATTTCTAGAGAGTGAATTTTCATCACCTATGTCCAGTGAGAGCAACAGTGGCTGCATGTTTCACCATGAATCAATTAAATTTATTACAGTTATTTAGGGAATGATGAAATGCACAAAATTAAAAAAAAAAATCTCCAAAAACTGATCAAATTACTTTACAGCTGTTCTGGAAAAATTCAATAAAATTTAAATTTTCACAGCTGTTCCCTTCTATTCAATCCAACTGCGATTCCCCAACATACGATTCAGTTCATCATGAAATTTTTCATCATTTATCACGATTCAATTTAATTACAAATCTTTAAGAAACAGTTTAACGCAGCAAGAAACCTCAAACATTCACCATGATTCGATCCTATTTACTGCAATTATGACTCTTTAGGAAACACCTCAAAGTGTTACAAAATCTCACATTTCACAACAAAATGATTCAATTAGACTACAACCGTTTAGGAAATGAAACAATGCATCATAATATCTCGAATTTCACAATGTTTCTATTGCGTTTGATTATTTTTGTTACGGTTTAGCATCTTTTTCAAAAATTCACTCAATACACAAATGTGAGTGGATGAACTGTGTCATCACAGTAGCGGGGTATATAACAGTTAAAATATTACAAGCTTTTCACTGGATTTTCGGATCTGAAAACAGCCCAGGAATTAAAAAAAAATAATTGAACACTCTTTACTGAGAATATCATTGTCATTGGTTCAAACATTCCAAAATGGATGCATTTGCATAATCATTTTCAGATTGATGCATCATGTTGCATCATGATATATTTTAAACCCCCAGCAACAGAACATCTGGGGCGTAGGGCTGATGTCACCTGTCACTGTAGGGGTCTTTATATAGCACATGGCTCTCTGATTGGCTGAAGAGGCTCCAGAGCTCTATGAATCATCATGAAAAGTTGATGAGTGGGTTCAGATGTTAGCTTACCTTGGGGATGACATCACTGGAGCTTCCACTTTGTGCTCTACAGCTCTAATGTTTTAACAATCTTATAAGAGCTCTAATGAATGCAAGCTGTTCAGTAGCCACTAAAAACCTCTACTTCAGTCCAGTTAGCCCAGGCCGCAGTATCTGTTCAATACTCTTTGTTCTTACCTAATGAGTGAGAAACTTCAGGCATTGTGACTAATAAAAGTGATGAAGATGATTTTTAAACATGATATTTTCATGTTTCTTATATACGATTAGGTAATCATTGTTTATGTTTTCTGGGGAAAGTGATACCATCTCTGCAGCAAATACCAATCCTATATGGTGCACTCTGGTACACAATTTATACATACATATGCCAAAGTCTGGGTGCCCCCAACACACTTCCACACATTTTAAAGCACAAATCCTGTTTATTTGCTGAATTTATCATATTGGGGGAAAAATAAAAACTAAAATGTGCCCTGTGCTAAAATTATGGCACATTTTATATTTTATGATTTATTTTTCCCAATAAGTTAAACTAAAAAATAGAAATTGTGCACTTAAATGTGAAGGAAAATGGCATATTTAAGTTTGTTCCCTGTAGAGGATGTTTGTCATTTGACCGAGTTCACATGAACTTAAACATGAAAAGAAGTGAATTCCTATAGATTGAACTCAGGTCATTTTCATCACCAACATCCAATGAGAGCAATAGCGGCTGCATGTTCCAACCAATGATTGTGTATATCATGTACATCATATATACAATCAATGGTTCCAACTCCTCCGTGATTGTAGCCTCTCGCTGTCATTCACACAGCTCATGCACTCAACGGAGGTTCACGAGGGGAACTGGAGCTCCACTTTGCAGTTGCTTTTGTTAATTTGCTGCTCGTTAGTTTGTCTATAGGTCTCTCATATGAACTGTCTAGTATGATGAAAGCATCGTTTTAAAAGCCATTGAGGTTGAAGGATGAAACTAGTAAAATGCATTAACAATGTTAAAACATTTGCTTGTTCATACATAGATAGATAGATACATAGACAGACTTACTTGTTGTGAAGGACACACCAGCCACAGTGAGGGTCCCCTGAGCCCAGACAGCTCTTACAGCTCCTGTACTGAGAACAGCTCTCCACAGGGATACGGCTCACCTACGACACAACAAAACATGGCTTATACAACATCACAGCACACACACACACTTCCACTCACTCTATATATATACACACACTCTTCCTTTACACAAATAACAATGCAGTAAACATAACCCTGACATCCCAAAGTTAATTATTAATAACCAATAACAAGCAAATGGTTTGTTTCTTGCCTCAATGTTTTCCTTGTACCATCCTCTCCATTTTAAATCTGATGGTCTACTCTGACTTCAGAGAGGGTATAAGTGTAGCAGAGCCCCACTGGGGAACTGGACTCGCTGCCCTGTGACTGCTTTTAAGTTTACTAACAGAGAGCCTGGTAAACACTATACACTAGGCCAGTTTTATTCTCCTGAGCCTTGACCAAAGCCTGCTTTATTTTTGCACATGAGCGTGTCTGTGACCTCACCAGTGATGGTATCACTTTAAATGCCACACTCTCTTTTCTCCTTCCACCTAAACAGTTTGTTTTGAATAGAAATACAAGTAACTTTCTATCAGTGTCGGCATTTGAAAGCTGCAGCTGTTTGCTACGTGTTGGGCTGAAGCTGGAAGCCACTGGTTTTATCATTAGAACTTGCTGTTTTGTAAAAATAATTAAAGGATGGTGCAATTCTTTATAAATTATTTCTCATTTATGTTGAAAATGTGGATTCTATACTTCTAATTAATACTACATTTCTGTTTGCAAGTAGAAAAAGAGATATTTTATTTAGTCATTGTTGCACATACATGAAAAGTGAAAAAGAAAACCCACCATTTATATTTTTGTCACTGAAGAAAAGCAGAGAAAAGATTCAGACTGGAATCAGTTGATAAGTAAGGCAAATTGCATGTAAATGCAATTCATAAGGCAAACTATGTAATTATTATGTAATTAGATTTATATAAGTATGTAATAATGCATAATTTGCATTACAAAGGAGCAAAGCACATTTTTGCCTCCCACTGATATCTATAGTGACAGTAAGCAGTTGTGTGTGGAGGACTGTGAGAGCGGCAGTGGAGTGAAGGAGATGAAGACAGTTTGGAAAATTACAGAACTTTATGTAAATAAGACGCACAAGAGGGGCATTTTTACTTTGGCAGACATTTAAAAAATCTGCCCTGTTTTGACGAGTTTCATCAGAGTGCTGAACTAGCTCTAACTCTGGCTTGTCCACAAAGAGGCCACTGGTTGGCTTGCAAAGTGATTCAGCTGACTGTAATGTCAGTAAAAGTAAAAGCTACAGACCTCTAAAGGGTAATGCGCAGTCCCAAATCTGAGACTGATCTCACACCTAGTTTGTTCGCTAGTTTGTTAAGCAAACAAACTAGGCTTTTAACTAACTAACTGTCTAACTGTCTAACTAACTAACTCACTTTTAGCAAACTAGGCTTTTAACTAACTAACTGTCTAACTGTCTAACTAACTAACTCACTTTTAGCAAACTAGGCTTTTAACTAACTGTCTAACTAATTAACTCACTTTTAGCAAACAAACTACGCTTTGAACTAACTAACTCATTTTGAGTAAACAAACTAGAATTTTAACAAACTAATTTTTAGTAAATGAACTAGACTTTTAACTAACTCACTAGCTCACTAACTTTTAGAACTAGGCTTTTAACCAGCAAATTTTTTAGCAGCTAACTAACTTTTAGCAAACGAACAAGGCTTTTAATTAGCTAACTAATTTTTTAGCAACTAACTAACTTTTAGCAAATGAACTAGGCTTTTACCTAACTAATTTTTAGCAAACTAACTAAGCTTTTAAATATCTAACAAATTTTTAGCAAACAAACTAGGCTTTTAACTAACTAACTTTTAGAAAATTAACTACGCTTTTAACTAACGAATTTTTAGCAAACAAACTGGACTTTTAACTAACTAATTTTTAGCAAACAAACTAAGCATTTAACTAACAAATATTTAGCAAACAAACTAGGCTCTTGATTAAGTAACTAACTTTTAGCAAACAAACTAAGCTTTTAATTAATTAACTAACTTTTAGCAAACAAACTAGGCTTTTGATTAACTAACTAACTAACTAACTAACATGTTTTTCAATTTCCTTTCTTGTTTATTTTTTTAACAACTCTATTTTCTGACTCTGTAAAGCACTTTGAATGACAGCAGTGTATGAAAGGCGCTACATAAATAACTTGCCTTTCCTCAAGTCTGCACCAGAGTTTGGCTTTTTCTGTGAAAACGTATCTTTCGTTCAGGCTGGTTTCACTCTGCTACAGCTAAAGTGCACCAAATTACACGCATGAGTGTATTAAAGAACTCTTACTCTGCATTAAAATAGACGCTTAACATCTGAGTGTATCATAATCAAAGCAATAATAATAAACCCTACTTGAAATCTGATTCTTTCTGAGTGAAAGGTTTGTCGATTTGAATTTAAACAATCAGGTCGCTGATACTTGGCCAAAAATACATTCCGCAATCCATGTGCCAAAATCCAGCGCACTGCTTTGTTATTATCTCATTTCTTGCCTGGCGTTATTAGCAGCAGCTCGTGCTGCAGGAATGATATGAGTTTCTGTCAAGAGTCAAATATTAAAACAGGCAGATTATGCTGACAGTACACCACTGATGTGCTGCTAGAAGAAGCAGAAAAAGCACGTCTGATGTAGAATTATCGTGCATTCATACCAGCAGCCAAATTGAACTAGTGATCATTTGGATGCAAACCAACCTGGAATTTTTGCCAAACCACGGTTCTGTTGTTTGGTGTGGACAGCAGTCAAAATGGGCTGAAAAAGTTTGGGTTTGTATTAGAACGTATTGCATCAGCAACCTAATTGGTTACATTCAAACTGACAAACCAATCATAAAGAAGCAAATATCAAGTAAGGTTTATTATTATTGCTTCGGCTTGATACACATTTATCTATTTTCATCAATTAGTTTATGCAAAGTAAAAGCTGTTTAGCTCAAATAGTAGCAAATCGCCGCTGTCCAAAGAAAAACAAGTATCTCCAAAATGGCAACTTTACAGCAGAAGGCAAAAACACTCTTTACTTTCAATGTAAGTTAAGGCAAACACATTTTATTTCTAAGCAATTTTAGAGCATTTCTATTAGCCCAATCCTCATTAAATGTTCACACATTGTAAAGGGCAGCTGCCATGCTCAAACGATGCAAAAAAGTAAAAATAAAAAAAAAATGGAGATACATGTTTTTCTTCAGACAGCGATGAAATGTAAATACTTGCATCCATATAAAATTTCTGACAAATTTCTGATAATTTGGTGCACTTGTAGCTGTGGCAGTGTGAAACCAGCCCAACCAAATGAAAAAGATCAACTGTAACAAAAACCCAAATTATGGTTCTAAGTTTGGCGCAACCAAACTGAGTGTGACAGCCTAAATTACATTATTCAACAGACAGAGCTGTCTCTAAAGAGCTGGATCAGGGGTGAAAAAGCAGGGAGAGCACATTGAACTGTACAATGCAGGGATTTCCCGAGCCTGGCTAAGTGGCTGGTTAGTTCACAGTAGCTACACAAGTGGCTGTGTGGACTCAACTGGCCTGGCTCAAGCTCGCCGTCTCTGGCCTGAATTAAACACAGGCCGCCTTCAGTGGTGTCAAAGTTCAGCTGTGTTTGTAAACACTTACAGCCCAGCTCTTCCAGGCCCTTTCCATCTAAACAATACTGCAAACACACAGTGACAGAAAGCAGCTTTCATATACGCACAGACATTCACATATAGCTGGGAGCGGCAGCTTGGCTCGGCTCACCAGAGAACAACAGCACTGTTTCGAGCATGAAAGGAAACACAACAGCATAAAGAACAGCTCAAAAGGAGCAGCGAGGGAACAGTAGCACAAAGGCAGCTGCAGATATCATGATTTTTTAAAAAAAAAGAACTTTGCATCTGAAAATGCGTGAGTGGGCATCTGGCCAAACACCCATCCAAACGGAAGCTTATATAAGAAAAGTGAGGGAGTTGGACAGGAATAACAGGAATATTTTTAACGTGAGGAAGGTCAACATGTAGGAGGTCATGTGTTCTACCATCTATGGCTGTGTATGTATGCGCCTGTCAGAGATGTGTAACAGATTAGAAAGTAGTAAAAAACAGGAGCTTCCAAAGCAGGAGTTCTAATAATGCTTAAAAGGTACAGAGAAAATGGGACTCCTAACAAACACCTGCAAGAACTGTCCCCATCAGATAAAGAGTATTTATCAGATAAACAGTGCTTTTATTTTTGAGAAATTGGGTAAAAATCAAGCTCCACTCTTGCTTCAGATTTGAAAAATCTGTTTCTGTCCATCCTTCCACTGTGAGACAACAACTCAACACTATGGGTCTGAAAGGGTGTATAGCTGTCAAGAAGCCTCACTGAGAAAAGGAAATAGAAAAAAAAAGAAGAAATAAATGAGCTGTTGGTGTTCTCAGAACAATGGACTGACCACCCCAGAGTCCAGACATCAACAAAATTGAATGTGTTTGATTACTTGGATTATGAGAAGCAGAAAATGCAACCAACTTCTAAGATTGAACTTTGAAGGAGTGAAAAATGTTGCTGCAGAAAACTAAAAGAGAGTCCCCCGAAAAGAATGAAAGCTTGAATAAAGGTGAATGGCGGCACACTGTGTGTTGATTCCTTTCTGCTTTTTATTTTACATTGAAAAATGAACGACATGAACTTAATCACTGTTTTGACTTGAAGTCAAATAAATGAAGGATGGTCTCCAACTTTTGCACAGAACCCTGGGTACTTATATATGCTGCCGTCACTGCTTTTCATTTTTTGACCTAATTTAAAAAAGGCAGTTGCCCTTTATATTGTGTCAAAATTTAATGATGAACAGAACAGAAATTGTCCAAAATTACTTGGAAAAATATATTTCTCCATTTACCTTCATTAAAATTTGCGTTTTTCCTTCTCCTGTAAAGTTACCTTTTTGGAGATATGAGGTTTCGCCCCAATGACAGCAATATATACAGTACATACGGGATACATTATCATTACATATAGGGACTTACATATACAGTAAATA